GTTTTCTTACGGTGTAAGGTTTAAAGGAAGCTAGGACGTTAGAGGAAAAGTTTGTTCTGTACTCTTAAGTTTGTGGAAACTGGGGCTCTTGGTAAGCAGCAGCTGCAGCTTCTTGTAACAGGGAGGGCTGCCACCCCATTTCCATGGGAAGCTCCATCTCGGCCTGCTGTCAGTAGTTCCTACTTCTTGTTATGTTAATTCTCATGAACTCGCGTCTTATCACTCAGCTGTACCTTAGGCCCCTGTGCATGGCCAGGTGCATTAGTTAAAAGCTTTACAAACGATAAAAAAAATTCCATTAAACAAGGAAATAAGTGAAGGGTCAAAAGTCGAGGTAGCTGAACCCAACCAGACAAACTGACATGAGTCAAACAGGTTTATTGGAAGTTTATGCGGAGGTGGAAGAGGTCTCGCCAACCTAGACAGCCCCGAACAAAGGGGCGGCAGGAGATTATGGGAGGGTGGTGGGCTGGAACAGCCAGGACACAGGTAGACGTCATTTGTCTTCCGTGGGGTTGAATTTTGCTTAGGTCAGAGTCAGGTGCACCTGTTCTCATGTGTAGGGCTTGGCTCTGTGTAAGGCCAAGAGGGAGAGGGTTTGGGGGCAGGGTTCCTGGGAAACTCTGAGACCTGACTGTCATCCCAGACTATTTGATAGAAAAGGGGTGAAGAAATCATCTGGCTACTTCCTGTTGAATGAAGACATCGTGGGGCTGAGATCGTAGTGAGGAGTTGTCATGGGAGGAGTCATTGGAGAGGAAGCTTGTAGGGGAGTGAAGTTGGCACGAACAAGTTTCCTTATCTGTTTGTGATTGTTTGGTGGGGGAACTCTTTTGAGACTGGACAGTTGGCCCAGGCTTGTCTTCCCAGGAGCTTTGTGGCTGGCCGTTGGCATGCTCAGGATGACAGAGTGTGGGCCAGACCATGGGGGCTTGTTGGATGGAGGGATGAGTCCTTTGGGAAGACTTGGTCTCCAGGCTGAGCTTGTGGGGGAGCTGAGCCGCTGTCACTCAAGTATAGGGAGGCATTGGTCTGCCTATTGTCTGAGGAGATGCCAGTTAAGGTCCTAAGCTGGCATAATGGACTCCGTTCTGTAACAAGCTTTGTAACTTCCATTTTGTAAAACCTTGATGTCTTTTGTAAACTCCCACCCATGCCCAATGGCAAAATGAGACTGCTTGTGGAGATAAGAAAGTTTCCTAGCACTGGGAGAACTGGGTTAAACTTTCACCAGATGTCCCTTCTGACTACTGAAACAAAAACAACACCTAAGCCAAATAAGGACATATTCCTGTAGGGTTTGCAAAACGTGACCTGTCTACAGGATCAAAGTTAAACCTGGGTCATGACTAACTCTGTAAAACTCCCCCCTCCTCCCCTGTGGCAGGCAGCAACACAATGGATCCTGAAACTAAAGGAACAATTTGGAGCTGGAGCTCTTTAGCTGAGTTCAGTGGCAGCACTCCCACAGAGAAACAAGAGAATGAAACAAAGCACCACCTTTAAGGTAAAAAACCTCAGGGTTGCTGGGAGGATAGCAGATCCTTGCAAGGTTTAGTCATTGCCCTTTGTTCCCTTATCTGTGAAGGACATTTGGTAACAGTTTAGCCCATTCCTCAGAATGCTGAGGAACACTTCCTAATTTGGGCAGGCAGTATGTTTTATGGTTTGGCATGAACAGGGAGTCTACAAAGAAGATCAAGGCTTTACAAAATGGGAGACATAGAACGTGTTACAAAATGGAACTGTTTAAGCCAGTTTATAACACCCCTTACTTTTGTGGTTTTCTGCTTTAAAAAGTGCCTTGTGGGCTGGTGAGATGGCTCAGTGGTCTAAAGCACTACTTGGAACAAGCTTGGCAAAGCACAGGGACCGTGGTTCCATCCCCCAGCAGCACATGCCAGCCAGCCCCACCCCCCGGTAGGCTGAGCTGGACACACACACACACACACACACACACACACAAATAAATAAAATTAAAAAAAAAAAGTGCCTTGCTTCAGCTCTGGGCTTCACTCTTGTCAGTTGCTTTTAAAAATGAACAGATCCTAACAGTCTTCAGGACAGAGCAGGCTGGGTCTTTAGTCAGTGGGGATGAAGAGAGAAGGCCCAGAGCTCAGAGAGCAGGTGAGTGGCTGGCACTTGATTCTTGACTTTTAGGTATGAGAATTTCCTTCTCTTCCCTTCCCTTTATTTGTCATTGTGATGTGGGTCTCTATGTAGCTTAGGGCGCCTTCAGCTTACATTGTAGTCTAGCCTGGTCTTCAACTTACAGCAGTCTTCCTGCCTCAGGCTCCCTAGGGAGCTTCCCAAATTTCATCTGTTAGGTTGCTATGGAGTAAGTCTATCCATGGGAGCAGAGTAAAAGTTCAAAGTGCTGTCTCAATTGAGAACCAGACAGGGATAGAAACAATTTCCTAAATGAAGATTGACCAGAAAAAGTATTGGCTGTATACCTTCAGAGTAATTCATCAGCTATTTCTCTACTTTTGCCTTTGGATCCTGTTTTATGGGCTCCTGTGACCCACCCTTGAGTGACTTGTTCACCAGCAAAGCTGAGTGTGGCCAGCAGAAGCAGAGTTTCCTGTTCCACTGGGGCTTCAGCACTAAGTTCCAATGTAGACTCCGACTTCTTGTATGATGCGTGAAGAATGATGGTGACTGTTCTCACTGACCAAGACTTGAAATAAATGTTTTTCTTTTTTTTAAATAACGATTTCAAAGATTTAGCCTCATGAGCCTTTTATGAGTAGAATTGGAATGACTTATGTTCTAAGTCTCACTCTTTTTCCTGAAAATCCATGTGTCACGGTGTAGGAGATGGTGACCTTCGAGGACGTGGCTGTGAACTTCTCCAGGGAGGAGTGGGCCTTGCTGGATCCATCCCAAAGGAAGCTCTACAGAGAGGTGATGTGGGAGACTTTTAAGAACCTCGCTGCCATGGGTAAGGAGGATCTCCTTTTCTCATTTATGTACTCAGACTATCAGATCCTGCTCATCAGCAGAGTTTCATTAATGAAAACATTATGAAGTACCTTCTAGGTGTGGTTCCATTTAACAGTGACTCACACTGGAGTCCACAAATTGTCGTACGTGTGCTAAGTGCTCACGACTTGTCTGTTTGTGCACTTTAGGGAGGAGCTCAGATGACCAGCACCTTGACGATAGGGACAGGAAATGCGGGAAACAGCTCAGGTAATGTGTCCTCAGGGAGAAAACTTCCTCTCAGCCAGAATGTTAACCCAAGAAAAGTGCATGAGAAAGACTGTGTGCCAACTTCTTTAACCTCACAGCATTTCTCACTGGACATACACTCATTGAGTATCTATAATCTGACGATGGAGTATTTGAATCGCTTCTGTATGTGAAATGTTGTGTTATTCGTATCATGCCAAAACTAACATTGTAGTAATGTAAAAGAACACTGTAAGGGCTAGCCAGATAGCTCAGCAGACTAAAGTGCCTACTTAGGCAGAGCGTAGTTGCTATGGTTTGATCCCTGGTGTGCTGTGCTGGCTCTGCCGCCGAGGTACACTGAGATGGCAGTAGAGAGCACGTGGTGGCACGTGCTTGTAATCCCCGTGCTTAGGAGGCTGACAACAGGAGAATCGCTACAAGTTCTATCTGTGTATTTGGTGAGACCCCGTAGACCCTGAACTGAAAAAAACATTGTTAGAAGGTAGATGACTTTGTGCTTTTCTATAATCCCAGCACTCAGGCAGCAGAAGAAGGAAAATCGCGACTAGTTCTCAGCCAATCTGGGTCACATAGTAAGTGCAAAGCCAGCATCAGCTACAGAGACCCTGTTTGAAATTCCAAAAATTCCATTCTACTGAACTGGGGAGATGGCTCAGTGGAATAAGCGCTTGTGCAACGGCATGAGTTCAAAGCCTGGTTCTGCCAAAAAAAGAGATTTGGGTGGGGGAAGAGAGAGAGGCCGGGGAGATGGCTCAGTAGGCTAAGTGCTTGTCTGGCAAACGCAGGGATCTGAGTTCAATCCCTGGTTCCGCCAAAAAAAAAAAAGAGAGATTGTTGGGCCAGGGAGATGGCTCAGTAGAATAAATGCTTCCTTGGTAAGCACAAGGGTCTGAGTTTAAGCCTCAGTTCCCCCCCAAAAAAAAGACAAGAAAGAAAGTCCAAGCGCAAAATGAATACAAGTTTTATTCATTGAGAGCTAGCTTATCATTATATATGTGTATATTTCCAACAGCACTTTTAAGGCCAGCAAGATAGCTTAGCAGTCTAAAGCGCCTGCTTAAGCAAGCTTGGGTGGGCCTGAGGGACCAGGGTTTGATCCTGCCACCACCACATGCTGCCCCACCCTGGCCCCAGAATGGGCTGACCCGGCCAAAAGAAAGAGAGCACTTTCCTGTCACATTTAATGTTTGTAAAATTGGTCATTATGAGCATGTTTTCAAAATCTGAAGAAGTATCACTGTATTCATCACAATCATTTTCAAGCAAATCTTCAAAGCCTGCCTTGTATCCAAATTCCACAAGGTTAGAAGGGCCGTGGTCAGACTGGAAGTGTACTATAGCACTAAAGAAAGTGAAAACAGGGATTCCACAGAAAGGGAAGAATAGATTGTGCTGTGTATACCTGTGCACATTTGTTCCGTTATTTTTCAGACAGGATCTCACTAGGTAGCACAGGCAGCTATCTGACTCCCAGCAATCCTGCCACCTGAGGTTCCCGGGATTTCAGGCTTGCCCAACCATGCCCAGGCATATCCAACTGTACTTTTGTGGCATATGTTTCTCAGATGTTGAAGTGATCTCATTACAGTGTGCTTAAAGATGCACTTATAGCTGTGCAACTTAGAAAAGCTAAGCTCTGGGAAAAGCATTTGCCCCTTCACATATGAGCTGACTAAAGAAACAGCACATTTGTGGTCTAAAGGGGTGTGCGCGGAACCCTGGACTCTGGGGTCTCCAGCAGGACGCTCGTGCATTCATGCTCGGCTGGCAGCTTCATGACTGAAGAGACTGAAAATCTACATGAGGCTGCACATAGGGGCATCTCCCAGCTAAAACCCGGGTTCACATTCCAGTTGAAAAACGGGCTGTTGTGTGCATGTAGTGCAATACCATTCATCCTCACAGACTGAAGGGAAGGCAGTCTGCAAAGCATGCAGAGATCCAGAGCCCATCACCTCAAGTGAAATAAAGGGCAAGAAGTGTCAGTATTACGGGGTGGATTTTGCATGAGCATCCTGCTACCTGAATTGAGGAGTAAAGAGAAGAGAAATGGTGGAAAATAGAGGCAGATGCTTTGGAGTGGGTGAAGAGGCCCTGTGGAATGGGAGGAATGGACTCATGGAGGAAAATGTATTAAAACCACATCAGTAAAAAAAGAAAAAAAATTAAGGACTGGCCAAATAGCTCAGCAGATTCAAGCTCCTGCAAGTAGGCACAGGGGTTGGGGGTTTGATTCCCAGGCCTGCCGTGCTGACCCCTCCGCTGGGGTGGGCTGAGAAGGCAATTGAGACTGGGCGTGGTGGTGCACACCTGTAATCCCAGTTCTTGGCAGGCTGTAAACAGGTGGAACACTTCAAGTCCGATCCAGTAGTGAGACCCTGAACACCCTGTACACCCTTCCCTAAAAGATACACACACACACAAAAGCACCTCAGTATATGGAGATTCTTTCATCAAGATGTGTACCAGTTCCCCAATATGAAGTTGCGTATTGCGAATGGGGGTATCACACACTCCATGATGAACCCTTGTATTGGGGTAAAAGCTGTGCTTAACACATCATGCAGGGTGTTGAGGAAGTACATGCTTAAATATTCTTAGAGGGCATCAAGCCAGACCTCCTCGTGGGGAATCACTACTGAAAGACACTATGAAATGTGATTGGTGCTTTTCATTTTCTCCCCTTGCAGAAGTGAAGAGGCAGAGCAATCCTGTGAGTATGAATTATGGTGTCAGTGTGGAGAAATGGGTTCTCAGCCTCCAGATGCAAATACGCACCTGATGGTTGCTGGTGTACAACCAGATGAAAGCCTTTCTTCTGGAAAGACCTCTGCTGGTCATTCAGCAGCAGGTCGGCCGGTCATGACCAACACTGTACTCGAATCATATGAACAGCAAGGATTTCAAGTAAAGCTCAAAGCCTGCCACAAACTCCAGTCCTTTCAGATACATGGAAACACAAGTCCTGGGGTGAAACTCCATGAATTTGTGCCATGTGCCAAATTGTACTCTGCTTTCACTGAAGAAAGTAGCATTGTGAAGAACCCAGAAGTCAATTCATGTGTTACACCAAATGATGTTGAGAACTGGGACAGAGGTCACCATGAAGGACGTATGTGTTCAACTGTACCATATGAAACAAGTATTAATTCTCCCTTCAGTGTTGAAGCCCTTGAGAAATCTCACTGCGGAGAAAAAATTCATGGACTTAAACAGGATGGAAAATCCTTCACTAATAATATATTGGGTAATCTTGAACACAGTCACATTGAGGAGACAACCTCTGTATGTAAGCAGTGTGGGAAAGCTTTCAGAACAAACAGCAGAAGTAAAGTACATGAAAGCACATGCTCTGGGGAGAAATCCTATGTATGTAAACAATATGGGAACGATATCAGCAGAAGTGGTGTTTGTGAAAGGTATGAAATGACTCACAAGGGGATAAAACCATATGCATACGAACAGTGTCACCAGAGTTTCAGCAGTAAATGTCATTGGCGAATTCGTGAACAGACTCACACAAGTAATAAACCATATCCATGTGAACTATGTGGCAAAGCTTTCAGCAGTAAACATAATTGGCAACTACATGAACGGATTCACACTGGGGAGAAACCCTATACATGTAAGCAGTGTGGCAAAGCTTTTGGCAGAAAATATGACTGCCAAGTTCATGAATGGACTCACACTGATGAGAAACCTTATACATGTAAGCAATGTGGCAAAACTTTTAGCAGAAAAAGTCATTGGCGGATTCATGAACAGATTCACACTGGTAATAAACCCTATGCATGTAAGCTATGTGGCAAAGCTTTCAGCAGAAAAGATCTTTGGCGAAATCATGAACAGACTCACAGTAGTAATAAACCCTATGTTTGTAAGCAATGTGGCAAAGCTTTCAGCAGTAAACATAATTGGCAAATACATGAACGGACTCACACTGGGGAGAAACCCTATATATGTAAGCAGTGTGGCAAAGCTTTCAGCAGAAAATATGTTTGGCAAGTTCATGAATGGACTCACACTCATGAGAAACCCTATACATGTAAGCAGTGTGGCAAAGCTTTCAGCAGAAAATACCAAAGGCGAGTTCATGAATTGACTCACACTGGTGCAAAACCCTATACATGTAAGCAGTGTAGCAAAGCTTTCAGCAGCAAAGCAGGTTGGCGAATGCATGAACAGAGTCACACTGGGGAGAAACCCTACGTATGTGTGCAATGTGGGAAAGCTCTAAGGAGCAAGCAAGGTTGGAAAATGCATTATAGCAATCACTCAAGGAAACCGTATGCATGTAAGCAGTGTGGGAAAGCCTTCAGCACTTCCGATGCCTGTCAGCAGCACGAACTTACTCACACTGGAAAGAAACCCTACATATGCAAGCAATGTGGAAAAGCTTTCTTCACGCCTTCAGCTTGTCAGAGGCATGAAGGTATTCATGCCGAGGAGAAGCCCTATGTGTGTAAGCAGTGTGGGAAAGCTTTCACAAGACAGAGTGGTTATCAAATACACGTAAGAATTCACAGTGGGGAGAAACCGTATGCATGTAAGCAATGTGGGAAGGCCTTCAGATCACAGAGTGCGTGTACAATGCATGAAAGAACTCACAGTGGAGAGAAACCCTATGAATGTAAGCATTGTGGCAAAGCTTTTCTCGTACGTGGTCATTGTCAAAGGCATGAACGGATTCACACTGGGGAGAAACCCTATGCATGTAAGGAGTGCGGCAGAAGTTTCAGTAATCGCCAGGCTTGTCAAATCCATGAACGAAGACATACTGGGGAGAAACCTTATGCATGTAAGCAGTGTGGCAAATGTTTCGCTTCTCGCCAGGCTTGTCAGAGCCATGAACAGAGACACACTGGTGAAAAACCCTTTACATGTAAGGTATGTGGCAAAGGTTTCAGCAAACGTCATTCCTGTCAAAGGCACGAAAAGACACACTCTGAGGAAAAACCCTATGCATGTACACACTGCAACAAAACTTTCATTGAACGTTATGCTTGTCAAAGGCATGAACAGACACACTAGAGCAGAAAGTCTGTACATAACCATTGTGTAAAGCCTTTGACACCCTCAGACATTGTAAAAGACATGTATGAACTCACCCTGGGGAGAAACCATTTTGAGGTAAACTGTGGAAAAGCTTTCACCCCGTGTCTTTTCTCAATTGCATGAACACACTCATTCTGATGAGAAACTCTATGTGTTCTGTGTGGAAACCTTTCAGCAGCAAGGTAGTTTGGAAAGGACATGAAAGGGCTCACGCTAGGGCTTAACCATATACATTTTTGTAATTGGCAATACTTTCATGTCCCATCCAGCGGGTCAATCAATGAAGGTCACCGGGGAGAGGAGCGGGGAATGGAGGAGGGGACAAAAGACAGGAGATGTGAGAAATGGAGACAAGACAGGATTCTGATCAAGTCTTATTTATTCAGGGGAGGTACTGGGTATATATAGGGAGTGTAGGAATGAGGAAGTCTCAGCTAGGCATTGGAGGAAGGTCCCACCCTTGGGGTATAGCACGTGATCCCTGGGGAGGTGACACAGTCTTTAAGGCTGGGGAAGAGGAAGTCAGTGTCACTGATGATGCTGGTGCACCAAGAGAATTTCATAGGTCAGAGGCACTCAGGTGATCATTAAGGGATATGTGGCACAGGGTTGTGATGAGGCAGATTCACAGGATTTAGGAAAAGACTCACTAGCAATAGTATTGGAGGCCTGGAGTTATTGTGCCTCCCACACTTTCATAAGATAGCTGTCGGGGCTGGTGAGATGGCTCAGTGGTCTAAAGCACCTACTTAGAACAAGCTTTGCAAAGCTCAGGACCGCGGTTCAATCCCCCAGCACCACATGCCAGCCTGCCCTGCCCCCTGGTGGGCTGAGCTGGCCACACACACACACACACACACACACACACAAATAAAATTAAAAAAAAAAAAGATAGCTGTCAAACACAAAGAATTCACACTGGCAGAGCCCCTATGCATGTAAGCAATTGGGAAAAGCTTTCTTCACCCCCTAGGTATGAAAGCAATGTGGAAAAGATTTCAGCACCAAAGATAGGTAGGGAATTCATGAACAGACCCACACTGTTCAAAAAACCTAGGGGCCGGGGAGATGGCTTAGTGCAATAAGTGCTTCCCTGGCAAGCACAATGGCCTGAGTTCAATCCCCGGTTCCAGAAAAAAAAAAAAAAAAAACAACCTATGTATACAAGCATTGGGGAAAACCTTTCATTACAAGTGGTGTTTGTCAAATTCATGAATGAACTCAGGACACACTGTGCATGGAAGTTTCATTGATGCCTGTCAAAGGCATCTTGAGTCTCACACAAGGATAAACTAAGCAATATGGGAAAATTTAGAGCCCAGAGAATAAAGTTCATGACAGAAGTCACACTGGACAGAAACACTCTAAGCACTGTGGGAAAACTTGTGACCAAGATGATAATTGTTATCTGAGGAAAAAACCCATAATGGAGAGAAACCCTATGTACGTAAGGGTTTCAATGTGTGAAAACCTTTGACACAGAGATTGTGAAACACATGGACAATCTCAGGGGGAGGAGTTCTCGTGTGTAAGCAGTGGGAAAGTCCTCAGATCACAGAGACATTGTACACAACATTGATAGATTCACACTGGAGAGAGAATGCGGACGTAAGTGTGACATAGCCTTTGGCACACAAAAAGGTCATGCTGATTAAAGGACTCAAAATTGGGCTGGTTAAATGGCTCAGTGATCTAAAGCACCTACTTAGAACAAGCTTAGCAAAGCACAGGGACCACGGTTCAATCCCCCAGCACCACATGCCAGCCAGCCCCGCCCCCTGGTGGGCTGAG